GTTTCAACCACACCACCACCCCCCTCACTCCCAACCACCTCACACCCCCACCCCCCAGGTTGACGATGACACGGAGGACGACGCCATCGACGTGGAGGAGCCACCACCACCGCCGCGCGGCCGCGGGCGCCCACGCAGACACTTCTGACCGCCGCGGCTCACAGCCTGCCGATGGGCGCGCGCGGGGCCCGGCACGGCGGCCCCTGGCGGGCCGGCCTGGGCCGCTGACCTTGTGTGGATTGGGGCACCAGCCACCCAGCCGGGGCCTCCCACTGACCATTGCTTTTTTGGAATGCATGATGCTGGTTACTCACGGTCCCGCGATTCACATGACCGCCGCCGCATGGAGAGCGCCACGCGCTGCTGATGTAATTGATGCGTCTCGTTTGATTATCACGTAACCCAGTTCCCCTGGATGCTCCCGTTGGGAGGCTCCACTGCCTGCTTACACTCACGACGGACAGCAATCCTGCTTGCATGCGACACGGGCCGTGCCGGCGGTCGCGTCCCTGGCCCAGACTAAGAGGCCCCATTTGACCAACAACCTGTAACCACCTGTAAGTGGCAAACAAAAAGGGAACGCGCAGGCATCCCATCATCTTGATCAGCACTCTGCAAGTGGCTCAAAGTTTGTAAATGCAATGGTCACCGTGCGTTGCAGCACACGCTGTTAGGAGAAAGCTGGTTTTGCCGCTCAGCTAGGGGCCGCAGGGGCGCTGCCTGTTGATGACAGCACCAGCAACTGCGGTCAGTGCACATGTGTGCAGGTGACTAGTATCCGTTGGCATCACACCACAGTTTGGCGTCATCTGCGGCGGCAGTGCAGGGAGAACGGGCCTCAACTTGACCAGCTCTGCTTGATTGCTCTGCAGGGCCCAGGCAAACAAACACTCGCGGGTGTCATCAGCAGATGTTGCCCTCAATCATCACCAATCTTTGGGTACCCGAAGGCAGCAAGCAACATGCGGCAGCCGCCGCCCGTAATGTGTGATCCGCATGCCGCGTTTTAGGATGCGTGCGCCCTCACATGCTCCCTGTCTGTACGCATGGTCCATGGCGGCCAGCTCCTGTCCTGAGGGCAGCTTCATCGACCACTCCTGGTGGGGCCGGCGGGTTGTTGATGAGTCAGCACCCACGAGGCAAACGTGCGCATGCACGTAGGGGGGGTGCAGCTGTGGCACTGTGGGTTTGTCCTTTGAGCCTACCTTGGGCTGCACCTCTGTCCTGTTCAAAGCCGCCGTACTCTGGATGGGGGCCGCACCTGCCACTCGCACGCCGTGATGGCCCGGCCCTTCCAGTCGAGCATCTTGGCGTACCTGCCTGCGGGGTGCCAGGATCAGGGCAGCACCCAGCAAGCGAGGGGAGGGATGCGGGAGAAGAGTGTGAGCATGCGCTTCTGCGCCTTCAAGGGGCCACGCAGCGCACCTGGTGCGGTGGCCAGCTCAAACTGCGATCAAGCATGCAGATTCCGTGTTGCATGCAACTCCGTGCAATTTTGCGACCCGGCTGGTGTGGGTGTCGTCGCAGCCAGGTGTTTCACGCACCTGGGTCTGCAGCAGGGTGCATGGCGCCAAGGATCGTGGCGGGCCAAGGCAGGGGCCAACCAGTGGGAGAAGTGGGTGGCAGTGGACCAGGGGTTTACAGGTGAAACGGGTGAAAACAGAGCCACACGAGCTGACAAGCAACGCCGACTGCTGCCTTGTCAGCAAAACTGCGCCAAGCCAGACAGCCGCTAACGCAGTCGGGCGGAGCCTGGTGCATCGCGCCGCACCCACATATGTCCGGGGTGGTGCTGTTCTGCGGCACAAATTTGGGCGACAGGGGCCCAGGGGAGGCCGTGCTCCACTTGTCCACGGGGCACTGCTCCTGGATGTACTCCAGCGCCCAGTCACTCGACAGCTTCGGGTTCTGCAGCACAGCAGGACCGGGGATTCATGGCCGGAATGGTAGGGGGTTTCAGGGCATTCATGTGGCCATGAGGGTGACCCCTGTCGCGCCCCTGGCTGCCGGCTGCCTGCGCCCGTGCCGCTGGTCAAGATGTGTGTGAAACCGCTGACAACACCAGTGTGGTGCTCACACCTGCCACCCCGAGGTGGGGCGGCGCTGTGTTTGCAGCACAGAACAGCTATGTAATGAAATTGTGCCCTGCTGGGATGCACCTGGTACAGCTGCTTGACCCGATCCGTCCTATCACCAGACGCATCGTGCGGCGCACAGCCGGTGAGGTTTCCAAACGGACCGACCGCCCAGCTTGCCAACTTCAGGCACTTGGCGGTGTTGCTGTCGGGGCTGCGAGAGGAGCGAGGGTGCGACATAAAGGCCAGCTCGACCGAGCATCTTTGCAACCGGCACGTGACCAGCAATCAGGCAAGGCTTCCTGCGGGCAGCGGGAGTTTATTCACGCTGCTGTCTGCGGAAGCATACAGCCTTTCAAGGCGCCGCCCCTCTCGGGCCGCTCACCACAGCTCTTCAAAGCCGTTGGCATAACCACCTGCAGGAGACGACACGCACGACACCATTCAGCAAACCTCCACAGGCAAACACCGTGCGCACTTTAACAAGACGTTTGGCAAGCTTCCTCGGGATCAGCATCAGTGGCGGGCCTCGGGAGCGGCGGGTGCGAGCGGCGCCAGCAGCCCGGCGGCCGGAGCCGGGCGCGTGCTGCTTACCGTCGATCACGGGCTGGTTGCGGAAAGTGGTGTAGGTGGTGAGGCCCGCAAAACACGGCAGAAAGTCGGTGCTGTGCAGGGAGGTGATGAGGTCCAGCTGCGCTCAATGGTTCGGCAGCGGAAGACGGGTCGCGTCCGGGGTTGGGGGGAGCCATTGGGTTAGCAGCAGTCCAAGCCGGGCTGATGCAGCCCTGACTGGCCGACCCGAGGGCATCCCAGAAGCTCAAAGGCAGCAGCAGGAGGGGATTGAACGCTGCAGCGTTAGGGCAGCGCGGCATCAGGCAGCATGGCAGCAGTGCAGGGGACTGCATGTGCGCGCCGCACCTTGCTGGTCCAGCTGGAAATGACCCATGACGCGCTGCCGGCCAGGCTGGGCTTGCTGGCGTCGAGCTGGGACACCGCCACCCTGACACGGCCGATGACTGCGAGGCGGCAGACGATCGTGCGATCCCCCGGGGCGCGTGGCTTTCACATCACAGCTGGTATGTGCGTGGGAGGTTGACTGCCAGCCTGAACAATTGCACAAATAGTTGCAAGCTCCGACTACAAATTGCAGCCCTGGTCACGGCCACCTTCCAGGCTGCACTGCCCAGATGCGCAGCCGCTCACCCTTCCCAGCGACGTCATCCGGGAAGCTGGTGCGCATGGCCTGCAAGTCATGCAGCAAATGGGGTGCATTTGCTTCTCAGCGCTAGACAAGCCTCCTTGCATTTCACAGGTCACAGGAGCAGGTGCAGACCCTGCAGCAAGGCACAGAGTCTGAGGTGTGGGCAGACCAAACGGTATCAGGCAGGGTTGCCCGCCTTTGCACATATGCGCACAGCCCATGCTCGATGTGCAACGATCGCGGCGGCGGCGTGGGTGAAGCCAGTGCAGCCCAGCCTCACCTCCACCAACTGAGCGTTCAGGTGGCCGGGGCAGCTCCCGCCAAACGTCTTCCCACACGTCGCGAGGACCTGCGACAGGCCCAGACGCTGGCTTCAGCAGCCCTGCACACCCACATCCTGTGGCGCATCTCTGCATACGCACGCGCCAACCAGCAGTCAAGCAACGCGCGTGTGCGCGCCGTCAGGCCAGGTGAATATCCGCGCAGTGCTGAGGGCTCACACTCTTCCAGATGTCCCGCTGGGCCGGCCCACTGAGACCCAGTGTCGTTGCGACAGCTGTGATACTGGGTGAGCAGAACAGGCGGCCAGTAAGTGCGCTTGGGTGGAGACGGCATGTTGCAGCTCCAGCGTACACAAATGAGATGATGCTGCCTCTGTATCTGGTCCTTGCGAGTGTGTCGGTGCGCCAAGTGTGCGGCCAACCGACTACCAAGCGACGGGTAAGACAGCAGTCCACGCCCCTGCCAAGCGGACGGCAGCACGCTTCCCGTGCACAAAGCACCCGGCGCAGCGCCGCACGACTCACGCGCCGCCACTCAGGCCGCTTAGCTGGGACGTTCCTGGCACGATTACGCCCCTGGCCAGCAGCTCGGCCACTGCGCCACTGTACCATGTGATCAACAGGGCCGACCCTTGTAGGGCGATGGGGTGGGGGTACCTGGGCGGCATCTGCTTGGGCTGCGGCTGCTGGGAACCTGCGGGCAGCGGCAGCCAAGTGGTTTTGATATCTGCTAGGCGGGCGAGCGCGGTGCCGCACCCAAGCAGCAGCACCAGCGCAGCGATGGTGGCCGCCGCTGGCTGTGGGAGGAACGAGGGTGACCGCAAAGGTGAGCGTGTAATTAGAAGCGGCGATCCGCATCATAGATTGGGGTGCAGGGCGGGTGGGGACCATTGATGGGCGGCGCTGAAAATGGGCTCATCAAGCTGAGCAGCACCCGAGCACCACTGCCCGTCAGCAGGCACACGCGGCGCAGGAACCAGCTGAACACCATGCGCCTCACGCGCTGGGACGTGGCCGGCATGGCTTAGTGCTGCGAAATAGATGCAGTCGCGTCTGCTGCACAGCTGCCTCAGATGTTGATGTCGTGTACGTCGTCGTTGCGGAAGGTCTGAGCGAATGAAATGACAGCCACGGTGGCGGGTGTATGAAATCAATGCTTTCTTCTGGCGTGTATGATGGAATATGAAAATTCTGTTGCATTGGCTTCTGCTGTGCTGAAAACGGCGAGTTCCAGGTCATTGTGCATGCGTCTGAGATGAGTGACAGACAATTAGAAATCCGCCGCGCGCTGCCGTGGGTGCAGCCCACCAGTACGGTATCTCATCTGTGTAGTTCTCCCATGCGCCTGTGACCGCTGTTTTTGCCCTGCTACTATGATGAAGGGCAGAAGATTGTGCTGCCTACTCAAGGGGGCAAGTCAACAGCATTACAGCAGGGCGATGAAGAATGCGCAGGTGCCGCAACGGGCGAGCACCACTATGCAGTGTAGGATGTGTGAGTAAAATGGACCGTTAACCCTGGAGAACGGCAGCGGAGGCACCCCTGCCCTGTGCCATTGTGCCGACCGGTCATTGGAAACACCTGAGGCTTGGACAACACCAATGCTGCCGCAGGCCGCACCGCGGCACGACCAAGGCGCCCAGCACTCCCCATGCTGGTTTAGGGTGAGGCAATGGCAACTGAGGCAAATGAGGAAAATGAGACAAATGAGGCAATTGCGGAATGTGCGGGATCAAGGCGGCGGCCCATCTACGCCCAAATTTGACGACGCAAAGCAGTTCTTTTCAGTGGCATCCCTTATCATACAGCGTTTGTGCAACTCAGGAACGCTCGGTGCGCTCGCATCGCCCCCTCACGCCAGCAGCACTGCCAAAAGCACCGCAGCAGCCGCCGCCAACGCGCCGCCTGCAGCGCTGCGCACCCGCGCCGTGCCCGAGCTGGTCGCGGCGTCGTCCTTGCCCCGCTTCGTCCCCTTCTGCTCCAGACCGTACGGCGCCGTCGCAAAGGTGCCGTTTGCGAGCGCCTCAAACCTGGCCATGGAGACCGGCATCACCACGCCGGACTCGCAGCGCCCCTCGAAGGTGCCTGACTGCTCATTGCAGCCGCGGGCGTCCCTAGCGATGGAGCCGTCTGGGTCGCCGACGAGGGCTATGATCTGGCCCGCCCCCGTCAGCTTGCAGATGCCGTCCACCTCCTCGTCGTTCGCGTCGCTGATGGGCGCCCAGCGGCAGGTGGGGAAGCTCGTGGTGCAGTTCTTGCGCGTCTGGAAGCCGTCGCAGAGGGGCCTCAGGCGCCGCTTCGCGCGCACAGCCCAGCAGTCGCCGGCAAAAGCTGGGTCCAGTGACGTGAGCTGGTCCAGGACTCGCTCCAGCTGCGAGAGGCACAATGGGTGCGCATGTGTGTGAAGGCGTTTGAGCACGCACTTGTGTGTGTGTGTGTGTGTGTGTGTGTGTATGGAATCAGGCTGCAGGCATGCAGGTGTGCCAATGTCGTCGTCCTTGTGTGTGGGTACTGCGGGCCTGCATGTTGCTTGTCGGCCTTGTCGACCGTCTGACCCAGGATTGGGCCGGAAGGGCGCGCTCGCGTGCACCTCAGAGCGCACGAGCCGGCACCACACGCGATGCAGCACATGTGGCTTCCAGGCACTGACCCCGCGCCTCCGCTTGTTGTGCTTAGCCGCCTCGCCCCCTGGCGTGCCCATGCGCTCACCCCCTTGGACTTGTCCTTCAGGACCACAGCCTGCTGGTCGCGATGCATGCACAGCTCCACTGCATAAGGGCTGCCGCCGCTGTCACTAGGCCCGGCCGCCTGCTGCAGCCGCCGCCGCAGCATCCGGCGCCGCCCGACAGCCTCGTCTGCGGCCGCAGGTGTTGCGCTCGCTGTCTTGCTCTGGGCCGCGGCTGGCGCGGCGGCGGCAGGCGGTGCTGCCGCCCTGGGCTTGGCGGCCGCCGCGGGTGGGGAGCTGGGGTTTGCTGCCGCGTCCTGTCCTGCCGCGTCCTGTCCGGCCGCGTCCTGACCTCCCGAGTCCTGTGCTGCCGCGCCCTGTCCTGCCGTGTCCTGTGCTGCCCCGTCGTCTGACAAGATGTAAGGCATCGCGTTGAACCACACACAGCCCTGGCTCTCCAGTCCCGCGCACGACGGCTGGTCGTATGTCGCCTTCAGACACGAGAGGGAGGGGTGGGCGCGAGTGTGTGCGCAACTTGCACCAGCTTGTGACGATTGGATGCGCGTATGCGTGGGCACAATTGTGCATGTGCCTCCGTGTTTGCGCATGTCTGTGCATGGAAGTACACTGGTTTGTGGGAGTGTGTGTGTGTGCACTTGTGTGTGTGAGAGCGTGCTCATGTGTGCGTGCTCTTGTGCATGCTCATGTGCGTGTGTGTATGTGTGCGTGTGTGCATTTGTGCGGAACTTGCAGATGCAGCCAGGTGATTAGGCGCAGCTGCCCCACGCCTGCATGCAGCGCCCCGCCCCTGCATGCCCCGCGCACCCAGCAGGCCTCATACTGCGCAGCAATGGAGCCAGGGCAGGCGTTGAGCTGCCCATCCTCAGGAGTGAACGCGTAGCAATTCTGGGAAGGCCAGGGGGGGTGCATGGGGTGTGCGTTGCCGGCAGTGAGGACGGACGTGTGTCGGCGAACGGGTGCAAGGCACAGTCATGAGCACCAACAGCAGACACGAGGCTCGGGGACGTTGTCGTGCACTGGAGGAGAGGAAATGACTGCAGACAGCGGCTGCACACTATTGCTGCAGGCAGGGTGCTTTGGGGGGCGAAAGACAGCTGACGCAAGGAACCCAGGAGTGTGGTGGGCTCCACAGCCAGCTTGCCCCAGACCCGTTCGGCCGCCGCAGCCCGCACCTCGTTGTCCCCGTCCCACATGCAGGTGAAGTCCGGGTTGATGGCGCCCCTGGCATTGCAGGCCCCCTCGGTGTCGATGTTGCCGCACACCGCGTCTGCGCCCTGGCGCCGCAGCCAGCCGCGCGCGATCTCGTCGGTCACGTTGGACACGTCAATGCGCGCCAGGATGAGCGCGCCGTTGGCGCGGCACACGTCGTCCGCGGGGTTCCACACGCACCGCTCGGCGCCCAGCTCGTCCTTGTTGCTGGCAGTGCCCCCTTGAGCGGCTGCAGGCGATGGGCGCGGGCGCAAGGTGCGGACGGCGGCGTTTGCGTCGTGCAGGGTGGGTGCGTTCCCAGGGTGCTTGTGAGCCTGCTGCGTTTGTCAATGCCTTCAATGTTGCAAATTGTCACAGGCGGCGACGCCAAGGCAGCCCCGTGCTGCTGCAGCCCCCGCGTGGCATGCGCGCGCGCCGACCGCCAAGGACCAGCCGCACTGCCGCGTCAGTGAGCAGCTTTGGGCCGGGGCCCCGATAGCAAGGCTCCCACCAGTGACGATCATCGACGTGAGCAGGCCGGGGCGGGACGATGTAAGAAACGTTGAGCTGGCGCGCTGTGTGTCAGCCTGGGCCTGCACCTGGGCAGCTGGGATGAGGCCCTGGGCCGCGATGGCGATGGGCGCAGCGACGCAGCACACTAGAAGCAGTGCCGCCCGCGGCCTCGGCAGTGCAAGGCGGGCCATCGCAACGGGTCCGATCGTTTTACTTCGACTAGCCGAGCGTTCGCGACCACGCTTGGCGTGTTGTCAGCCTGTAACCCGTGGCGGGATTGGGCCGGAATTGCCCCCGCCGGTTGTCGTCGGTTCAGAGAGGGCGTCGCGTGTTAGGAACATGGTATGACATGCGACACATATTGCACGTTCGCCAGATCAGCTGCTGCCAGCAGGCGTGACCCGCACAGCAGCTGGCGTCACTCGGTTGGCCTCGCCACGTCCTCACGTCGCAACTCCACAACCATGCCCGCTCCTCTGCATCCTGGCTCTGCGCTTTGCTCCTGCCCTTCACACGAACATTCTACTGGCGTAGAATGGTCGTGGGACCCTGGATGCTGCACTGGCCATCAGTAATCGAACGGCAACTGGGGCCAGCCAATGGCACGGTTCCATGTACGCACAGCAGCGCCAGGGTCACGGTGTGCATTGTGAAGTGTTGAGAGTCTGAATCTGGTGCTTTCAGCCGAGGTAACCCCTCCGGTAGACTTCCATCTAGTAACCTTGATGACTTTAGCCGTGCCTGCACACCAAGAGCACCACAAAGGTGGCCATGCGCATCACTGCTCACAAACAACCCCGACCAATCCCGCGGAGTGCCGAACACTTAGCTTAGACAATTGCACAGAACAGTATAGCGTTAATATAAATCAACCAAAGGCAGGTGCCCCAACCAGTCAGCAGCAACTCAGCACAGGCATCAGGCCGGCCGTGCCAACCGAGGGCGACACCCGCGCCTCTGTTTGAGCGACTGGATGGAACAACATACTGTGGCCCCCGTGGCGATGCACACGGTTGAGCTCAATGGAGATACTTGTCAGCGGAGTCTCCAGGTGCAGGAGATTGGTGGACGTCAACCCCAAGCGCTGACTGTTGCAGGGAGCGAGGCGCTGTATCCAAACCTCTGCGCATTACGATACGACGCCCTAGCCTTGCACTCCCTTGAGCTCGCCTGCTGCTGGGCTGTTGAGAACGCAGCACCCCCTTGCGCAGCTTCAGCCACCTGCCCAATTGTCAAGCCTCCGCCCCTGCTCCACTGGCACTGCCGCTGCCGGCTGAATCAGCAATGCACAGCCGCCGCTAATTGTTGCCCAGTTGCCGCCCCCGCTGGCCTGCAGCAAGGCGGCTTGCCACACCGGCACGTGCGACCCACTTGACATCAGAGGGGTTCGGGTGAGCCCACTCTGGTGGGGTGCCAGGGCAGGGAGGATTTCCCGTCAGTTGGTTGACAGGCTTATTGATGTGCAACCATCTGATACATCTGTGCGTACATAACCAGCAAGGGGATAAGCTTGGAACTCTGAAGTGCAGGCAGTGGTGTCAGGGGGCTGCCAGCAGCTTATTGGCACGCACTGCCCTCAACAGCCGCCGCCCCGCCGCGCCATGGCGCCCTTGTTTTTTGTGATTCGTGCCAAATGTACCGTTTGCGAGTGCTTCAAACCTGGCCATAGGCACAGGTGCCACTTTGCTCGACCTGCAGCGGCCTTCAGATCGGGCGCTGCAGTCGCGCGCACTCCTGGCGATCGAGCCGTCGGGGTCACCAATGAGGCTGATCAGCTCGCCCACGCCGGTGAGCTCGCAGGTGCCGTCGGCGTCAGAGGTCAATCTGAAACCAACGTCGGGTACCAGAGAGACACCGCTGCTGATCGGCGCCCAGCGACAGGTGGGAGAGCGCTTGCCGCAACCCTTGCGGGTGTCCAGTCCGCTGCAGAAGGTCCGCAAGCGCCTCCTGGCGCGTGCGGTCCAGCACCCGCCAGTGAAGGCGGGATCAAGAGAGATGAGCTGACTCACCACGCGAATGTACTGCACCGAGCAGTGTTCATGTGAGTGTGTGTGAATGAAAGAGTGCGCGTGTGTGCGCGCGTGAGTGTTTGTGTGTGTGTGGGGGGGGGGGGGTTGCGCGCAAGCGCAAGCGCTCACACGCGCCCACGCGCACGCCTGTGTACGCGTGCATGTAGCATGTGCAAGTGTGGCCTCAAATCTTCTCAGCACCAACGAGACAGCATATCCCGTTCGCCTCAACTTCCAGCACTGTCTGTGGGGCGCTCACCCCCTTGTAGTTCTCCCTCTCCAGGACCGCTGCCTGTTCTCGATGCATGCACAGGTTTACTGCGATGCCCACAGCCCCACTGTCAGCAGGGGCCAACGACTGCCGAAGCCCCCGCAGCGCTGCACCAGAAGCTGCGGCGTCAACCTTCACAACGGGTGCGGGCTTTATGGCTGGCACCGGTGCAGTTGTGGACGCTGCGACTGCGCGGTTGTGCTGGTCAGCAGGAGTCTTGTCAGCTGGCAATGGGAGTGTGCCGAACCAGACACATCCCTTGCCCCGAAGCCGCTCACACGCGGCCTGGTCGTCGACGCCATGCTGGGTGAGGTGGCGTGGGTGGTTGGGTGAGTAGAGGGCACACACGCGAAGAGCGTGAGGGGGCTGCATGGTGTAGTTGCATGCTGCGGGCTCAACGGGTGGCGCCTGGGATCGCTTGGCAGGCATTCTGAACAGCAATGCGACAAGTTGGTACAATCATGCCACATGAACCATGTCTTGGGCCGGCGGGGGTGGCAAAGGTTGGCCAACAGACGAGAGCAGCCTGGCTCGCGCACCCAACAGGTCTCGTACTTTGCTGCTTTGGATCCGGGGCAGAAATGTTGCATCCCGTCCTCTGGTGTGGTGGCGTAGCAGCCCTTCAAGCACACGTACAAATTGCATGTGTATGTGTGTGTGACTGCACAGCCGCCCCCTCCAGCATGCAATTGATCGAAAGCGTGCCAAACGCCAACGAGGCGCATGCCCACAACCTCAGGGTGCAGCACGTGACCACTGGCAAGCTTGCAAGGTCCTCAGCAATATTGGCACTAGGTGAGTCCTTGAACCATCGCAAGCGCCACCACCTGGGCCGCCCCACCTTGCTGCTGTCCCACATGCATGTGAAGTCAGCGTTGAGGGCGCCCCTGGCCTTGCAGGCTTGCTCCTTGCCGATAATGTCACACAGTGTGTCCGCGCTCCGCCGCCGCAGCCAGCCACGCGAAATATCATCAACCACGCTGGACACGTCAGCACGTGCCAGGATGAACGCTGCGAGAGCAGGGTGCAGATGGTCAGCGACTGCAGGAGCAACGTGGCATGGAGGGCGGCACGCGCCCACCTGTCGGCGGCAGGCAGGCCGAGGGGGGACAGGGTTGAGGCCCAACACTGGTTGCTTGTAGGAGCCAGTTCGTCATTTATCATTCAGGCTGCTGCTGCCGCATACCTTCGTTGACCTGGCATGTTGCATCGTTTGGGTTCCACACGCACTGTGCAGCGGCCAGTTTGCCGGGGTCCGCTGCATTGACGACCAGCAGGGACAGGAGGCTGGGACGCGATGTCACTAGAAAGTGCTGTGTTGCGCGCGCTGCTGCACTTGTGCGCCGGTCCTCGCTGGCTGGGGTGAGGCCTCGGCTCACAACAGCAATGGGGCCTGCTGCGCAGCACACGCAGATAATTGCCAGCAGCGGCACCGTTCGCGGCTGCCAGCAGGCAGAACGGCTCTGATTTTGAGGTTTACTTCGATAGGAATTGTTGGGAACCGGTCGACGAGGCATCGATGCGGCCGGCCTGCTGAGATATGATAATCAGCGGGCGCACACTATCAACGGATTCGCTTGAACTGCGGAACGATTTGCAACGGACCACCCTTCTTGAAAGAATGTTGTAGCCTACTTCCTTCCGTGTTCGTACCAGGTGCACTTGCGGACAGCACAAACCCAATGGCCACTCAGGCGGTGCCTGAGCAGTGCCAACCAGGTGCCAACAATGGCTCGCTTGGCCTGGCGCTTTCTGGGTGTCAGGCTCTGGTGGTGTGTACTTGTGTAGCACACGCAAGCACACAGGTGCTTAGTGACCAGCGAGCCAGGATTGAATTGGATTGGCTGCTGCGCAGGCTCGCTTTGCCGGGTTCGCTACCTGATATCTAATAATTCATCCAAATCTCTGCTGGACAACCACACTCCCACAGCCCATGCTTGCATCCTGTGGCATCAGCAATACATGTAGCGCCTCTCAAGGCTGGCAGCATCTTGGGGCTCATGTGGCCTTGGCCAGCAGCCCAAGATGTAATATTTACTCCTGGTCACGACAAATTGGACAGCACTGCGCCATGCTGGATCTTGAAGGGGTCAACATCCAGGGCTGTATCTTGGACTGCGCCATTGGCGTCTGGGAAGCTCCAGCTCTCTGAGCAGTTTTGAGGGACGAACGACAAATTGACCCGCTGCTTGCTCCACGTTCGGTAACAAAATCCAAAGTGTCATCCGCACGCATCATGTGCGCCATGGCGCTACGAACAGCGCATGCATAGACGTCGCAGAGCCTGGTAGAGGTGAAAGAAAGCAGGCAACAGGGTTGTTCATGCACACAACACACGCAACCACCCAGCCATCCAACCACCAAACTGATTCATAAGTGCAGCAGGACGAGCAAAGCGAAGGGCGTGTAGCAGGGCGCTGTTGCCCTGGCGGCGCGCAAGCACTGTGCTGCAAGCGGTGTGCCGCAAGTGGTGCGCCCTTGCGCCTGGGCAGCAGACCGTTGAAGGACTGACCAGAGCAAAAGAACAGCGTTGACCACCCACTGCCATCATGCACCTTCAGCTGAAGTTATCCCACATATACAGCATTTTGATCGCGTCTGTAAACGCTTGATCGCCTGATTTGGCCTTTCCAACCGCGTGCGCTCCCGCTGACCTGACATGCATGACCCACTGGGGTCGGGACCGAGGCCCAATGGGATGGTAACGCTGACACATAGCGTGTTTACAGGAGACAAAGCCCGCTACACCAACACCACTTGCCCCTGGGCTGCGCTCACGCGGACCATGGGTGCTTTGGAAAATGCGCGGTGCCTATAACGCTAGTTTGGACCCCATTAGAAGTCCAGCGAGGCTCATTGTGTTAATCATACGCTTTGAACTCTCGGAGGTATCTGAACGAACGCGTTCTGCGATTCTGCGATTTACAGAGGGTTCCAAGTGAACCAAGGGCGCGGGCCTCATTAGACGATCAAGCATCACAGAAATCATGAACCTGCAAGTGCTTCGCCGTGCCGCAGTGCTGGGCAGCGCGCGGGCCCCGAGCGTGGCACTGCACCACGCACAGCAGGTGGCACGGCGGCCTGTGCGCCCCGCCCGTGCAGCCTATGGCAACGACTCCTCGCTCGAGGCGTGGCAGCCGGCCGTCAACCCCACGGCCCCCAACCCCCCGGCGCCCGCCGACCCGCCGGCGCCCGGGGAGACCGAGACGTTTGAGACCACGTCGCGCGACGCGTACTACACGCGCCGCCACGAGCTGGTGCTGGAGAGCTTCCCCAACGCCCTGGGCGTGGACGACTTCATCAGCCGCGTGGAGATCGCACTCGCCGCACACGGCTTCCGCGGCGACAACGCCATCGGTGCGCGCGCGCGCGCGCCGTGAACGCCCGCACCCCCTGCGCCCGCCGGGCTGCACCCCACCGCTGCAGCCAGGGCGACCGGCCGCGCGGCCGCGTCACGACAGACGCTCCGGCAGATCGCCCGTCGGCGTGCGGCGCAGGGGGTCGAATCTAGCAGGGAGCCAAAGGCTGTCCCGCGCCGCGGGGATCAGATGCCAGCCCGCTGGGCGCACTTCGCATCAGCAGGCCACCCTCCACATCGA